TCTCTGCCTGGGCAGGGCACCCACTCTCCTTATCCCTTTTGTTGGGGAGGTGGAGTGAGGTAGCGGTAGGATAACAAGCCTGGCCCCTACCCTTAACATTCTGAGGCTAGCCACCAGCATGGGCAGCGCATGGGCAGCCTTCATGGGTAGCTAGGTCACTTGGCTGATCCTTGGGCCAGCACAGGCCCAAGACTGGGCTGCATGGTTTTATTTTTATTTAGCTTTATTTTCTGTGTGTCTCTGTCTGTGTCCATCCCCCTCCAATGTTAAGTGAGAGCCTGGGGGAAGTCTCTCAAATCCTTCTCTCTATCACCAGCCATCCCTCTGGCCCAGGCAGAGTGGGTGTCAGGCAGGTAGGAACCTGGAGTGGCCTGGTCCTACCCTCTGGCCTATGAACTCCTCTTCAGGCCACCAGTGTTGCCCTCTCCCTTTTGAAAACAAAATACCCTTATTTGTAAATCCTTAGATGCTTGGGATTAAAACCCTTCCCTTTTCTTCTGGAAAAGAAAAAAAAGAATTAGCTACTGGTTGTGACTTGGGCATCTCTATAGCAAACATTCTCTTTTCCAGCTATTTAGAGCCATGATCAAAGGTAAACAGGCCAAAGAACATAACTTAATGTAGGGTAATGACCACATTGAACTCATGGGCATCTTGACAGGAGCTTTTATGCTGTTACAGCCTTTCGGTTTCCAAGAAAAACTTCCCCCTGCCAGATCACCCACAGCTGGCCACTCACTGCTGATTTTCACATCCACTTACATCAACATCCTTCTCCGTGGAAAACCACCTCAACAGTGTGGATCCATGGTCAGGAGCTCCACTGGGAAAAGCCAAACCATACCTTATTCTCTCTGCAAAGGCAGACCGTTTGCCCTCGGAGGTGGGCATGTGCATTAGATAATCTACATAGAATGTCCCAACAGCTGGGAGTATTGCTGTTCCACTGCCTCCTGCCAGTGGGGGTGTACAGAAAGTATTGAGTTGGTCGGTATTTTGAGATCTCCCTAGTTCTTCTGGGATAGGGCACTGGTGAGAGCTCCTCTATCTCAGCTTCTGAGCCCAGCCACAGGGGCTCAGCAGTCAACAAGGCAGCCCCTTCCTCCATGCATGTGCCTGTGCCTGGGTATCTCTCTACAACACCCTCCAGGTAGGTTCTGAGCCAGACCTTGACAACCAGAAGCAAAAATGAGGTCCTGCCCTAGGTGCATGGGAATAGTCGGAACTGTGCCCAGAGAGGATGTGCCATGGTAGATTCTGGCCCACTGCAGCAATTGCATATTATGGAGTACCTTCCAGAGAGTGGTCAGACCTTAATCTTCCATTCCAGATAGTTCCCAAGGGTGTGGGAGAGCCGAGCAATGGGGAGTCCAGATAAGCACAACATTACATTGGCCCAGATGTAGTAAGTGTTCCGTATGTGGGGAACTGACCTGAAGCATCTTGGTGAACACAGCCCAGAATGATTGTGATGGATTGAAAAGGTAGAGTCACATTCTAGAGTTATTCTTCCAGGTGAAGGTGTTGGGTAAGTACAGGCCAACAGACCTACACAGAGTTCAAAGGCTGAAATGAGGGGTTCCAGTCTCAATTCTCCTTTACTGATTGAGCGCAGGAGTACAGAACACAGACCTGGAGCCAGAGGGGTTAGGCTTGAGTTCTAACTTTGTGTACTGTTCATCGGTTTCCTTTAAAATAAAGATGGTATAAGGACTGTATTCAGGGGTGGTGTGATAAGACCACACGAGTCCTGTGATCCTTGTGACCCTGGACTTGGTTGCTTCTGAGCTGTAAACACCCTAGACATAGGGAGATGAGGGGAGAGAGACATGGGTTATCAGGATTGGGGCATGAGCCTAATAGAATCTGTCTCCAGTAGAAGAGAAATAACCTTCTTTCCCAAGACCTTAAGCCCAAGAGCCAAATTAAAGAGGCCTAGGCAGTAGACCCCTATCCTTGATCCCCCCACACCTTCAGCAGCCCTGCTGTGGTCCTCATCCGCTGCCACCCTACTGAAGTCTGGGGCGGGAGAATTGTCTGTATTCTGTCAATCATGTTTTAAATAAACACTGATTGGCCAGGCAGAAAGTATAGGCAGGAAAACCAGACAGGAAGTAGAGGTGATGCAATGAGAACAGGAGAATTTTGGGAAGGAGGAAGCCCATTCCATCCACTCCTGCCCAGACCACTGAAGCAACAGGATATGGTCTGCCCCACTGAAAAAGGTACTGAGCCATGTGGCTAGCATAGATAAGAACAATGGGTTAATATAAGTCATAAGAGCTAATAAGAAACCTGAGCTAATGGGCCAATCAGCTTTATAACTTATAGAGATCTCTGTGTGATTTTCTTTGGGACTAAATGGCTGGGGGACTGGGAGGGACAGAAAACCCCAACAAACCAGCCCCTCATGTTACAGAAGTCTACAGCGTTGTCCATCTTCATTCTCAGGCTACACGTCAGTGTCCAGGGACAAGGCAGAGCATCTCGGAAAGGGCTGATGGGTGACATTTGGGAGGACTGACAGCAGCACAGCCTCTGACTTTTCTCCACAGGAGTACTGGGATTGAGGCAGGCAGGCTGCTCGTCCAGCTTTTATGTGTGCTCCGGGGATTTGAACTCAGGCCGTCATGTTTGCACGGCAAGCACTGTACTTACCAAGTCTTGTCCACAGCCATCTCTCTCTTAATTTTCTCTCAGGCCCCAAGACAGATTCATTCCCTTCTCTCTGGTCCTCAGAGCACCTGCACGAACAGTCCTCTCTGTAAAAAGAGGAAAGAGGAAAAAAAGCTAAGATGAAAAGAAATTGGAATATACATTAAGAAACTGGAACGAGAAGAAATCCTTCTTGAAAATTTTTAATGACTTTTTTTTCCCCTTGAGAAGAAAGCCAAACCATAAAGCAAAACATACTCAGCTGTTAACAAACAAAAAGCTCACATATCTAACATGTAGGGTTTTTCCAAGACAAACCAACATTTTGCTCTGTCGGCTTTTCCTAATGCACGCATTTTATTTTGCCCAAATCCTCATTATGGGAAAAATTTACATATCCCTCTCTCGGAGGCCCCAGGGCTTCCATGGGTAGTGAAGTATGCACTTGGTGGTTTCCGAAGCACTGGCTGGTTCATTTTGCCCACCGCAGCAGATCCTAACTAATGAAATTTTCCAAGCATTCAGCCTCGAAAACATGCTTGTGAGTTAGATGATGTGGACTCTTTGCGGCCCACAGAATGTCTCCTGGCCTTGACAACTGTCATCGCCCATTCCCTTCTGCAGCCAGCTGCAGCTGTGCCCCTGGTGGCAGGACAAATGAAAAATAGCTGACCTTTATTGTGTTTGTTAGGAACCAATAGCAAATCCCTCTAGACCTACAGTCTGTGGGTGCCTGTTCATTTGTTCTCATTACACTGCTCTCTAGGCTGTTGCTATGTTTGGAACAATATTGAGCTATGTGGGAAGAACGGGGCTTGGCTTGGGGTCAGGTCTCAGTTTGGGGTCAGGCCTCCCACCGTGGCTGCCACTTTCTGGCCCCCAGAGCCAGATCAGCAGCATAGAACCTGACTCTTGGGCTTCTAGAGTCAAGCACTGATGCCTTCTGCAGTGGGGTTGCTTACTGCCTTGACTCCCCTTTCTGCTTGTGTCCCGCCAGTCCAGCCCTACGGGTCCCAGGCATGCTGTGGTCTTTTCCTAAGTGTTTTATCTGACTGTAAAAACTACAAGAGATGTGTCACAGAAGCATGAGGCATAAAACCACATGGAATTTTCTACTCTGACTATCTATCTATCTATCTATCTATCTATCTATCTATCTATCTACACACACACACACAAATGAAATTTTGATGCCTGAAATACATTAGTGATCTACTGGCAGTAAGATAACAATGAAATTCAGGGCAGAACTGGAGAGAGAAATCATGACTTTTTATGTTTATTTTATTTATTACTCTCTGAGCAGTTTCTCAGTAAATGCTTTACCTCTAAGCTACATGCCCAGCTCCAGAATCCAGTGTCATTGATTGACCTTGTGGTGATTGAATTTAATTGACCTGTCTGCTCTTGACATGGTTGCCAGATGACCCTTGGTCTCTCCAGAGCTCTTATGTGTTGCTAGCACTATCCTAGTTGGACCATTGAGACGCTGTCTTTGAAATGGCCCAGTGGCACCTTGGCTGGGGTGTTGTGATTCTACAGTGTGGTAGCTTGAGCCACCTCCTGCAGATGTTTGTTGCTTGTAATGGAAAAAAAATGATAACATTTCTGATTCCTGCTTGGTTGAATGATAGTGCACGGGCCAGGATGAGTCTTAGCAACTTGATATCCAGGTTGTAAAATTCCCTCTTCTTCCTTAGCTCCTAAATAGAATGAACCCAAAGGGTCCAAAAAGATGGTCAAGTATGCATTTGTTTGTTCCTGTCACCAGCCTGACAGTTGTGGACAGTGTTACAGACATGATTAATAACATCCACACATGGAAGATTGCCTGGTGATTTTCTAGGGTTCATGGAATTCTGTTAATGCCATGTAAAATGTTATGGGGGTGGCAAGGTGGTTGAGCAGATAAAAGTGTTTGTGACCTTACTTCAATCCCCAGAAACTATAGAAAGATGGAAGGCAAGAAGTGACAGTAAAGTGTCCTCTGGCTACCATGTGCATTCACCATGGCACATGTGGACCCTTATAAACACATCATATACATCATATGCACATACTAATAAATAAAAACATAGCAGAAAGCTTTAAGGTGGAAGTATGAATCTGTGTATTTGGCTCTGGGCGTGATGGAGTTAACTTTTTTGCTGCTTAGGAAGACATTTTCACATCTGTGTCATGTTCATGTCTAGAGGGTGTGGTTCCTTCACTGGGCTTTAACTTCAGCGTACTCAGTGTGAGTTCCTTTGATCTGATTGATGGATCACGTGTCTTCCTTCCAGGCAAAGTATGAACCCAGCACAGTGACGATGCACACTCAAATCTTAATCCCTCTTGTCTTGCAGGCTCTGTGGCTACCCTCCTTTTTATGACGAAAATGACTCGAAGCTCTTTGAACAGATCCTGAAGGCAGAATATGAGTTTGATTCCCCCTACTGGGATGACATCTCTGACTCTGGTGGGTCTCTCGTAGCATTTACATCCAGAAGCCCAAGGACCCTGGGGCTCAGAATGGTCCTGAGACTGCTGTCTTCTACTGGGGTTACTGTAACAAAATGCCACAGTCTGTGTAGCTTAAATACCAAGTGTTTATTCTGTGTAATTCTGAAGGGTGAAGTACAGTGGGCCTGCTTTCTAATTCACAGGCAACTGCCTTCTTGGTGTGTTTGTACACAAATGGGCAAAACTTTCTGGGTCCCTTTCATACTCATGTCTTCCATGAGAGCCCTGCCTGCATGTCCTAATCACTTCCCAAAGGGCCACTTCAGATGTCCTCATTGTGGAAGTTAGGATCTCAGGAAAGGACTTGTGGCGCCCACCAGCTTTTAGTCTATGGTCGCTCCTGAGAAAGTTCTATGAGCTACATTCTTAGGGTTGACTTGGAGGACAGACTTGAGATGTATTGCCCTGGCCAAGGGATGTAGACTTGCACATCTACCTCTCCCTGATCCGGATGCTCTAGGGATGACATATTCTTATCTGGCATTTGATGGCTATCATCCAGGTGCTGAGTGCTAGAAGTCCTGGACATGCACTAACTCGCCCAGTCCTCAGAATGACCCATTAGATGGGTGGGTATTTATATTATCCTTGCATGGCTGATGATGAAACTAAAGTCCCATTGGGTAAAACAACCTGTTCTAGTTTATGGAGTCAGTACTGAGCAGAACTGGGATTTTTAAGCCCCAATTTTCCCGAAGCTCACTAGTTATCACAGGATTGTATATGTGAAGTCACGTATCCTCAGCAAGACATTCTTGCATTGAGCAGCCATGGTTTGCATGGTAGAGGTCTCTTAGCTGAAGTTGTGATTTTGTTGTCCAGAGCCCATGTTTGAGACACAGTACACACACTGAAATCCTCCTAGAGAAGCTTACAATCCTGTTCAGGAGACAAAGCAAACCCAGGCCCAGGTGAAGGGGAGAAAACCGCAGAAGGAAGAAGGGAGGGAAGCAATACTCTCTGTTGGGCTGTTTGTACAGATCATTTTTATTATTTATGTTATTTACTCCTAACTGGGACCCCCTTGCCTTTTTCCTCAACCACTTCAACCTTCAGTAACCTTCAGCTAAAATAGACCTTGCACGGAATACTAGACTTTGGAGCTTAGAAGCCAGAGGTTTCCTCTAGAAATTGAGACCTGTGGGCAGCAAGCTGCCATACCCTACAGGGTAACAGGTTCCAAGCTGGCATATAATATCAGCTTTGGGTTCTGTGACCTATTCTTAGTATCCAACTCTGAGCTTTGCCCTATCCATGATAGCCAAGCCCTCTCTACCACACCAGTGTACATCTTGCTGTTTGTTTGCAACATCTCATTCACTCGGTAGCTCAAGAATGATGCAGATGCTCCTCTGGGGTATCCCCACACCTGGCCCCATGACCTGGTGGCTTTGAAGCAACTCAGTGGGTTTAGTAGAACCAGTAATGTCAATAGCACATTCAGAGGACATCCCCAGAGCATCTCTCTAAGGCAACAGTGAACTGAAGAGCATGTGATTATGAAGATTATTCCTTTTATTCTCTAGACCAAAGACATCATTAGTAGCTAGCAAAAAAGAATTTAGAGCCAGAAGTCAGGGTCTCAGCCTGGCTCTGCCACCTTTTCGTTCACTGGGTCTCTCTTGGAGTGCCAGCCATGCCTCTGCTTTTATCTAAACACTGGTGACCTTGTGTACAAGGTAAAGGGAAGGTGACTAGCTGGTCTCTCCTCATATTTAAATTACAAGAGTATCCTATTATCACATTTCAGCCCGCAAAGTGATTCTGTGCCCTGTGCTTTCTTTTTGAACAGCCAAAGACTTCATTCGGAATCTGATGGAGAAGGACCCAAATAAAAGATACACTTGTGAGCAGGCAGCTCGGCACCCCTGGTAAGAAAGATCACCTTTGGGAGGATCTTGCCATTCCATACCCTCCCAGAGTAGGCTTTTTATTGGCTCCTCTTCGTCGTGAAAGCACTCAGGTGTTCACTTCAGGTCATCCTGGCAGGGGTTTCCCTCATCTCCCGAGCCAGTGTTTGTCCCTTTCCACGTCCTCAGGATACAGACTTCAGAATGCACTCAGAAGTTAAGTCGTATAAGATAGCAGGTAGCTTTTCATCTTACAGGTGGCTCTGAGGATCACTTTTGCTAAAGGAAAACACCCAGAGAGGCATTGATTGGAGTGTTTTTTTTTTCCAGCTAGTGTTTCTTTAACTCTAAGGGGCTCACTGATGCTTTATGGCATCCCACACACTGTCAGTGTTGTGTTTATGTCATGAGACTGGAACCCAAACACTGACAGCTAACTGTGACTTTGGGTTACACTTGCTTGCTGAGTGTCAGCTTTCTCATTTTTAATTGGGAGTAACAGTCCTAATTTATTAAGTTAGCATAAGAAATAGTCAGGCTAGTTCACATAAAGAGATTCACACAGCATCTAGACAGAGCAGCTGTCTGGTTTGTTATAAACCCATGAGTACTTGAAACAAGTACCCAAGAGTAGAAAACTATATTCAGTGGGTTAGTCAGATTTCTTTTACTATAACAAGATACCTGAGATGATGGACTTTAAAAGACAGCGATTTTCTTTTGGCTCACTGTTTCAGAGGGTTCAGCTGGTGGTGAAGTCTTTGGCAAGCAGTGGGAATTCATGGTGGAGCAAGAAGCCCACCTCATGGTAGCCAGGAAACAAGAGAAAGAAACCAATATACCATAGTTTCAATCGAGGGTACTCCCGTGATCTAAAGACCTCCATGAAGCCCTATCTCATAAATATTTTCAAAGATTTTTACCACCACCCACTAATGCCAAGCTAAGGGCTAAACTTTGAACCTATGAACATATTAAACATGTAAACTAGAACACACAGTATAATGAACATAGAGGCAATGCAGTGCAGCTCAGTGGTAGATCCCCAGTCTAGTATGTTCAAGGCTTTGGGTCTACTCCCCTAGCATACATGTGTATAGGGGAAAGTCAAGGAGGGAGGGAGGGAGGGATTGAGGAAGGGAGGGAGGGACGGCGAAAGAGAGAGAGAGAGAGAGAGAGAGAGAGAGAGAGAGAGAGAGAGAGAGCGCACCTTGAATTATTCAGGAAGAAGTTCCCATAAGAAGCACCATAGAAAACTGCTCTGTGTTTGGTTCGTCATCTCCTAAAGCATTCCCTCCAAGCTGTTAACCCTCTTCAGGGGACCCACTTAGAAGCAGTGTCATAACCCAGTTTCACAGTATTCTAATTCGTCACCCCTGCCCTGCCGTCTGTTGAGTCTCTTTGTGTTCCAGTATTCACTCCTTTAAAGTATTCACTCCTTTCTCTCTCTCTCTCCAGTAACGCTGGGAGGTAGGTTTTCCATTCATTTCAGATATAAAGAGATAGTGACCAAGTGAAGACACCATAGCTAGCTAACGGCAAAGTCAGGACTCTAGCCAAAAAGGCCTGGCTCCATGGTGAATGCTTTTCATTGTATAAAGAAGAAGGGCAACAGCAGAGGGTGGGGAAGCAAGGGAAGAATTTTCTGGAAAGGTAGGCAGTTCTGATTGTGTGTCACTGAGATCTTTCTTAGTAACTTCAGAGAGTGGGTTCATGTACATGGTGGCAATATGATAAAGTTTTTCTTCCTTCACACGCCTTTGAAGGCACCAGACTTTTGAGATTATCATATAGCAAGAGGAAGTGTCAGGCTTCCTCAAGTTTGCTCAATAATCCAACCCCACTCTGTAGGAACTGAGAAAAGGACAGATTAAAGTCTGCTTTCTCCATTTTAAAGATGTACTGTTGTTAAGTACATGCATGTCTGTGGATCTGCGTGTGGATATATGCACACAGAAGTTCAGGTGCCTATGGCAACCAGAAGAGGGCATCAGATCCTCATGGCCCTGGAATTTACAGGCAATTGTGGGTTCACAATTTGATCTGAGTGCTGGGAATTGAACCTGGGTCCTCTGCAGGAGCAGTGTGTACTCTAAACTACTGAGCCGTCTCTCCAGCCCTTTAAAAACAGTTTTATTAGCAAATGTTAATTATATATAAGGATGGGTTCCATTCTGGCATTTCATATGGGTGTGCTTTGGTCACCTCCGTTCCTACTGCCCTCACTTCTTCTCTTCCCATTCCCACGATTGTCCTTCTTCTCCCACACTAGGTCCCCTTCTACTTGTCACATACACAGACGTGTGTGTGTGTGTGTGTGTGTGTGTGTGTGTGTGTGTGTGTGTCTAAGGAGGGAGAGAGCCCTAACAAGTTTAGTTAGGTTTGCTTACGTAAGTGTGTGTGAAGTTGTTTATATGAGTACCTTACCCATGGGTACACCACTGGAAAACGTTTGCCCCTCTTCCAGCAACCATTTACTTACTGTCTACAAACCCTCAGGGAGGTTCCTTCCACCTTCGTGATAGGGAAAGCTAGTCTCTCTTAAAAAAAAATAATAAGAAAATAAAAAAGAAAAAGAAAAGAAAAAAAAGTCAAATTCTCTTTCTTGCAACTTCAGGAGAATAGACTAGGCCCCACCCAATCTGGTGCCGAGCCACATTCTTGAATTGAAGAAGGTTGTCACCCAGCCTACGGGAAGGCAAGGAACTCCAAGCAGGATGAGTAAACATGGGCCCAGAATAGGTCTAACCACTGAATGTCCAGAATTGAACCATGGTACTTGGTCTTCCTTGGTATTATAGAATAAAGGGAGACAAGAAAGAGATGAATCTAGAATCAAGAGCAAGGATTAATGGGGATCTGGCCTGGCTTCATCTCTTACTGTCTGGGTAGGTAAATGCTTGGACCCCTTGGGCATCCTCTATGGACTATAGATCATACATGATAATGCATACCCTGGAGGGATTCTCAAGGGGTTAATTAAGATAGTACATGTAACAAACAAGACCACCTGGCACCTAAGGTATCTGTGACATATGTAAATTTTTAATATTTTATTAGTGTCCTAAGAAACTGAACTGTGCCCTTCTAGCAAAGGAGCCTTGGGTTTTAGGCAGGGTGGTGAGATTTTTGTTTATGTATTTGTTGTTGCTGCTGCTGGTGCAGTTTCTATTTTCTGGTACTGAACCTAGGGTCTTAAATGTGCTAGGTAAACGACCTACCACGGAACTATATCCCTAGCCTCCTTTTCGTTTTTTTTTTTAAAAAAACAATTTGAGGTCTTTCTGAACTGTTCAAGCTGACTTTGAACTCATAACCCACATGTGATTCCAAGCCTTCTTCACCAAGTAGGAAAAAAATAACATTCAGAAAGTCCTGTCTGGTTACAAGACTGGGGAAGGGAAGCTCGAGGGGGTCTCAAACAGCAAACAGGAAGGTACAGAGCAGAGAGGAGGGGTCCTAATAATGAGAAACCCTTGGGATCGGGAGTATGAGAGCTAGACTTAGAAATGATGGCTTGGATCTGGGTAAGGTTAGCCGGCCATGCTGGCATTTGGGAAGTCAGGGTAGGTTCACACTGAAGAAGTGTGGCACCCAGGAGAGAAGTCAAGCTGGGGACAAAGATTTGAAGTCATCCTTAGAAGCCTGGGAGCTGTGCCACCCAGGGTTTCCTAATCAGAAGCCGCATTACAAGCGCTTCCATTTTTTACTGTATTTCCAAATGCTCAGGATCCAGACACCAGGAAGTGATACCATACATTTGATACATCACTAAGCCTCACTCAGGCCTCACACTTCTCTACATTGTGAGGTTCTTGTCTTCTCCACAAGGGAGAATTGCCCAGGCAGGTGACAGAAAATGTGGGTCCAGCTGGGAGCCAGCAGGAGGTGGGGGAACGCCTGCAGGGGAGCCCTACCAACCTTGCTGGTCTCAGAACTGGCTCCTGACACACTCAAACCCTCTGAGCTTCATGTTCATGCACACTTGTTCATCCACATTCAAACTCGCGGAGCTCCATGTTCACACACGCTTGTTTTTCCCTCTTTATCCAAGGCACCCAGGCTCAGGAGAGCCCCTGGGAAGTGCATATGCTTTCCCGAACCTCAGAACAGATTGCTCCAGACAGAATAGGGCTCTTTCTTCAGAAGCTAGTCAGTACCCCTTAGCAGCTATTTCTAAGCCCACTGTCTTTTGGAGTTTGGCCTTTCTCCTGCTGAGACCTTATAAGGAACATGTAAACTCTTCAGTGGGGGCCAAAAACAGCAGGCTAGGAACCCATCCCTGTCTCACAGCGTGTGGGGCTCATTTCCAGGTCAGATTGCCCTGAATATTATCTCTGGCTTAATTGACAAGCAAATAAAGTCAATCAGCATGAGAGAAATTGATTTTAAAGAATTAAGACAATTGCTCATATAATTGTGGGGTCTAGGAAATCGAAAATGTGAACATAGCAGCTTAAACCCTAAGACACTGTCTCTTCCTTTTGTCTTCAACTGATGGATAAGGCTCACCCATGGGATGTGAATAACTCAAACTCTACTAGTATTATCTAAGAAATACTTTGGCTAGAACGTAGAAACTAGCATATGTTCAAATATCTGGGTGCATAGCCAAGTTGACATATAAAATTTACCATCATACCCCTAAAGGTTGACTGAGATTCCATCCCTCTGCAAGATCCCAGAAATGCTGGCTCTGCTTGGCCATGGGAATAGGGAAGTAGTCCCAGAGACTATGGTTGGGAGGTATACCAGAATCACCAAGCCCATCTGGACCAAGTGGCAGAATCAGAGAAAGTAGAACATGTCTGAAACACCATACACACACACACACACACACACACACACACACACCATCATGAAGACCTGAGCTCAATCCCCCAGCACCACAAAACCCTGGCATGGCTTCACAGGCCTATAATTCCAGTGCTGGGAAGACAGATAAAGAAACAGCCCTGGAGCTCACAGATCAGCCAGTCTAGCTGAATTGGAATGATCCAGGGCCAATGAGAATGATGCAGGAAGACAGCCTCCATCAGCTTCAGGCCTCCGTGCAAATGTGCACGCGTGCACACACAAATGATTGTTCTATCCGTGGGGTCAGTTTGCCTAATGCCGATATGAGTTGTGAATAAACACGGTTTAACTGCTTATAAACAGTAGGCCCTGATTTGAAGCTGGGTTTAGAAAATGCTGGCCTTGGGAGATTATAAAAGTAAAACTGAACTTAGAAAAGCTCTAGATCCCCAAATAGAGTAGGGTCAGAAGGGACAGAGACGAAATGAAGGAGCCTTCTGACGTGGAATGAGAAATGCAGTCACACATGTATTAAATCATGCATGCTTTACACTAGGATTCGCTGTTCCAAATAGGCACTTCCCTCTTGTCCAACAGAGAAAAGAAAAGCCCCAATCAGCTCCTAATGACCGACCGGCAGAATAGTGCGACTCTGGAAGAACTTTCCCCTTGTCTATATTCCTAGCTGTCCAGATAGATTGAACAGCACACTTGGACTTCAGCCACTTTGAAGGATGCCCAACGGTACCGCTGAGCCACCTGCTGCCAGCTAGACTCTGACCCATGTGCAACCCAGCTGAGGGCTGTAGGAAGTGAGCGGGAAACACTCCTAAAATAACCCAGAAGCGGTTCCTTAGATCCTGATATAATAACCTGTAATAACCCACCAGGAGGCATGGGAAGCAGTACACAGACAACAGGCTCCGACTCAGGGCGTCAGGATACCAGGCTACTGACAGGCAGGTGGAAGTGATGTCCCAGGGTTCCCCCTCCCCAGTATCTACCCCCACCAAGATGTTCAGTTTGGACCCAGCTCTGGCCCACAACCATTCTCAGCACACTTCCTATCTTTCTGGCCCAGTTATTTCCAAGAAAGAGCTGAGCACAGATTCGTTAGAATTAGCATCGTTTTCTGAGGACAGAACTGTTAAAGATGATACAGAAGGATTCCGAGGGAAATAGGTCAACTCCTAATGTGCTTGTTCCCCAAGCATGAGAACCTGCCAGGCATGGCAGTATGTGCCTGAGATGCCACTGCTGGGGAGACAAAGTCAGGAAGATATCTGAAACTTGGTGGCCAGTTAGCATAGCCTAATTGATAAGTCCCAAATTCAAGTAAGAGACCTTGTCTTACCAAAAAAAAAAAAAAAAAAAAAAAAAAGGAATAAAATGGATGGCTCCTAAGGAATGACACTTAATGCTAACCTCTGGCCTCCACATGTATGCACACACACACGGTACATGTGCCCACACATACATCCTGTGTGGCACAGAAGATTCACTGAGGTGTCTCCAGTTCCCAGAACATTCTCCTTCTTCTTGTTTCCACATCCCTTGTTTCTGCTTCACTGGTGTGTGCCTGGGAAAGGGAGGCAATTGGGAGCAGCTCAAAGTGGAAACTTGGTTCACTTCAGTTCATCTCTGGGCATCTTTTGGGTCCTTCTGGGAAGAGAGAGGGATGCATTTGGGGATACAGGAGGAGGTTGCTGTGAGCTGGGGTATCAGCCTGGCACAGACTCAGTCTAGGTCCTGGACTCAGGCAGTTCTGCAGGGAAAGAAGCTAGACAGGATGAGCCCTGGTCTCAGCAAGCCCAGAGCTTATTCCTTTCATGCTTGGTACCCATTGAAGATGGCGTTCTGCAGTGGGAGGCCCATTTTATGTCCAGGGCAGTCCATGTCCAGGTGATGAAATGTTTTTTCCTATAGCAGGTTCCTGCTGGCCAGAAAGGTAGTCCAGGAGTCTGAAGCTTACCTTGCAGCTTCCTTAACTTTTTTTCATAAATACCGAAAATCAACTTAGAATTGAATAGTTTAGGGTGAAAAATTCCAGGTCAAATTCCAGGGAAGGCTTAGAACCGAAGGAAGCTTTCCCTGACCTGGAGGAAGAATCAATTGGATATAGAAGACAGCATTGGTATAAAGGAAAGGGCATGTGAACAAGAAGGATGGTCTGCATTGTAGTGACCCTAGGGAATTCCTGGCCACTCTGAAGGAGACTGTAAGCAGAGTGAGAATCAAGATGAGAGAGGGTGGGAGGGAGTAGGGGAGAAGGCTCGAAAAAAGTAAGAGCTTCAATAAACCCACCTGTGGCCATGAATATAGAGTGGACATGGTCCTGGGAACCATAGGAACTTCTAGAACATGAGCCAAGCTGAGTTAAAGTTACTGGAGGTGGCAATGTGTAGGGGCCTTGTCTACAAGGAAACCAGAAACCAGAGCCAGCTAAGGAGGAAAAAGTGAAAGCTTGGAAAAGCCCTGAAGGGCTAATGTTGGCGAGGAGAAAGGAGTGAGCCCAAGGGATGGGCACTCAGGATTCCTAGCTACCATGGATTCTAATGTTCCTGGGACTGGGCCCAAAAGAGGAAAACCATGAGAGAAGGTAGAGAGTGGACCAGTAGGGCATTGGTAGATCCCCGGAAGGGAGTAGGATGCTGACAATGCTGTAGACGTGGGGCATTTGGCTTGTGTGAGCTTAAAGACAGTTCATCTTGGGAACTACACAGCCTAGCAGCCGGCCATCAACTTCAGCTTCCAGGGACAGCAGCAGGGGACTCAGGGGCCACAAGAACACTTTCTGAGGAAGTGTCTTTGCCTGTGTTTCAGGATTGCTGGTGACACTGCCCTTAACAAAAACATTCATGAATCCGTCAGCGCTCAGATCCGGAAGAATTTTGCAAAGAGCAAATGGAGAGTAAGTCCTAAGTGTGTCTGTTTCGTGTTTGCCAAATTCCCAGGGACCTTAAACCATTCTGGAGAAGGTGGTTCTCCAATTTGAGCATGTTATGTTTCTACTGGCCCTTGAAGATTTGAACAGGAATCCCCATAATCTTACTTAATGAATTTTGCTAAGTTTGTTTTTCTAAAAAAATATATTATTTTATTTTATGTGTGTGTGGTATTTGGCTGCATGTATGTCTGTGCATGCACAGTTGTGAGCCTCTGTGTGGGTGCTAGGAATGGAACTGGGTCCTCTGACAGAGCAACCAGTATCCCTAACCATTGAGCCAGTTCTCCAGCACCATAAATTTAAGTGACACTTGATTATGGAATATCACAGTGGAGGAAGGGCTAAGTGTTTCCCATCTGTGGCTTAAAGACAGCAATGATGCAGGATCTCACTCATTTGGTATTGCTCAAGCAGCACAACCGTCCCTGTCTCCCTTTACTTTGCTGGCCTTTAAATAGTCCCCATAAAGTTATGGAAAGGAGAAAACAGAAACATGAAAACATAGTTGAACTCATCAATGTTTCCTGGTTTAAAAAAAAATCGATGAATTTAAACCATCGCAATTTCATGATCATTTATTGATTGTGTTCTAATAGGCATCAGTATTTAAAAGCTACCTGTCTTGCTGTGAGAGCCAACAGAAACAAAATTAGTTCTATTGAGCCATAGTAGCACATGCCTTTAAACCCAGCAATCAGAGGGAGAGAAAGACTAGTCTCTGGCTTTGACCAGCCTGGCCTACATAAAAAGTACCAGGCCAGCCAGGATTGCACAGTGAAGACACTGTTTCCAAAGAAAAGAAAAATTAAAGATTCCATAACCTACTTTATTATTGGAAGTAATGTCATTCCTTAAGATTGCAGTATCAATTACAGAACCAGCCCTGGTGGTAAAGGCCTGTAATTCCAGGTACTCAGGAGTCTGAGGCAGCGGGATTACAAATTCAAAGCCAGCTTGGATAGCTCAGTAAAAGCCTCATAAAATTAAAAAGTATAAAGAGAGCTGGTAGACTATTTTCTTAGTATATACACAACTTTAGGTTCAGTCCCAACTATGTCAAAAAAGAAAAAAACAGAAGGTAACAATTACAGAAAAATAAACACGATTTTAAAGTATTGTATATTAAGATATATATGCTTTTGATTCTAAAAGTTACAGTTATAAATTACATAGAGTATTGTTCTGAAATTATTAATGCCAGAAGCAGGTTAACCTCCAAAATATATCTTGGTGGGGAAAAGAGTTGAATAAATGTGTCCACTTTTGAAAAGAATGATAGAAATTTTCTTTTTAAAGTGTCCTGAGAGTATCTGAGAAATTTTGCAACCCTTGCGGTTTCTGGATAGGCGAAAGGAAGCAATCTCAGAGTGTTTTCCAACTACTTGAACTAACTCATTCTCCTCCTCTCCCCTTTTTGTCCTTTCTCCCTCATTTCAGCAAGCGTTTAATGCCACGGCTGTCGTGAGGCACATGCGAAGGCTACAGCTCGGCAGCAGCCTGGACAGTTCAAATGCAAGTGTCTCAAGCAACCTCAGTTTGGCCAGCCAAAAAGATTGTGCGTATGTAGCAAAACCAGAATTCTTCAGCGGGCATTTGAGTTGAGTCCGGGTTGGGCAGGAGAGCTGAGCACCAACGGTTTACCGTGTAATGTTCTAACCCATTTAATGTTCATGATTACCTTAGAACATTATTCAACATTAACACCCACCCTGAGTGAGAATCATTTTCATTTGTAGATAAGAAATCCATGGCACAAGTACCACACAACCACAGATAAGGTCTGAACACCTCTTGGTCTCTCTCTCTTTCCTCTGATTTACCTCTTTCTGTACAGTCACTCTCTGGACTGCTGAGGGGCTGGGAGAATCCTCCTGGCCTGGTTGCACTAGTTTCTAAAGTCTTGGTCTTATTGTTTTTGTTGTTGTTTTTACAGGGATGATGAGTATTTGAACTTATTTATATGCACCAAACTGACTTTGCAATAAAAGCCACAGTGATGGTATTGGATTTGCCTTCATCTTTGCAAAGACTGTGATATTCTTGAAGGCACACTTACTCTTTTAATTCTCTCCTACTACATATATGTATATGGACCATAATATAACAACTATCCAGGGCCTTGCCAGTCAGTGTTCTGTTACTGTGACGACACACTGGAGAGAATATATATATATATACTAATCTCCTACTGGAGCAAACCGATGGTTCTCTACCTCAAAACCATTGCCTTGAAGGTCATCAACCCTCATCCCCCTAATCATTGGGCATCAAGCTCCTTCCTATTTGGCTTAGCAAAAGGGTTCCTTTTAACATGAAGGAGCCTGCTTGTTGGGGTATCTGCCCCACCCGGTACCCCACAGCCACAAAGAAAATCACACAGAGATCTCCATAAGTTATAAAACTGATTGGCCCATTAGCTCAGTCTTCTTATTAACTAGTTCTTACATCTTACGGTAACCCATAATTCTTGTCTGTGTTAGCCATGTGGCTCAGTACCTTTTCCAGCTGGGCAGGTTACATCTTGCTTCTCTGTGGTCTGGGCAGGAATGGTGGAGGGAGCTTCCTGCTTCCCAGAATTCTCCTGTTCTCATTGCATCACCTCTACTTCCTGTCTGGTTTTCCCACCTATACTTCCTGCCTGGCCAATCAGCATTTGTTTAAAATATGATTGACAGATTACAGACAATTCTTCCGCACCAGTTCCTTTTTTTGCTAAAGAGCCATCCCATAGCTGAGTATAGTAGCACACATTTATAATCTCAGTACTCTGAAGGTGATGAATTCCAAGTTCAAGGCCAGCCTGAGCAACCCAGTAAAACATCTCAAAAAAGCAAAGGCTTAGGTTGTAGCTCAGTGGTGGAGCATTTGCCTAATACGAAACAAAGTTAAGAAGACCCTGGGTTTGGCCCCCAGTATCAAAGGAGTCATCCTAATCTTGTTATTCATTCTTAACTCATACACAGTTCTTAAATTTTCTTATGACAAGTTCATGAGCTTCTCTGACACACACCTCTGGGTCACCTAGACTTGCCAGCATAGATACTTCTTACCACCTTTAACCAAGAGAAACATCACAGCTGACTACTTGTTTCTTTAAAGATTCATACGCCAGCATCAACAGCTGTGCTTATGTTAATACTTATTTTATGATTCTCTCTATGTCCAAGGGTATGGAGTGGCTAGGGATGTGTAGTCCGACAGCTGCTGCATACTAAGTGCCTTCCGGGACCTTGCCAGTCAGTGTTCTGTTACTGTGACAACACATCAGAGAGAAACATGTTATTTTGGCATACAGTTTCAGTCCTTTCTGCCCGTGGTTACTCATGGCAGCCAGGAAAGAGGGAGACAGGAGAGGACAGAGGGCTGGGAGAATGGTATGTCCTTCAATGACCTACTTCTTCCAGCTAGGTCCCACATCCCAACAGTCAATTCAACTTTGAGTTCATCAATGGATTAATCCCCTGATGAATGTAGGGTGTTCAGGATCTACTCCCCCACACAACACTATTACAGAACGAAACTGTCTAAAATAGGCCTTGGGGGAGATTTTGTGGGAGTCATGAACATTCTCATTTCAGAGACCTGTGGTACAACATACTTACTGAAACATAAATTTGAACCTGGGGTACTGTTGGCAGAGTCTTCCTGTCCCAATTGCCTACTTCCAAATAACCCACCACCTGTTCCCAAATAACTGACCCAGAGATTTAAGATTATTTAAAAATGCTCACCCAATAGCTCAGGCTTATTACTACCACTCTTACATTTAAATTAATCCATATTTCTTATCTATGCTTTGCCACGTAGCTCATGGCTTGTTACCTCATTTTCTACATGTTCTGCTTTTTCAGCAGCTGACTGGCATCTCCATGACTCTGCTCTTCTTCATCCCAGCATTCTCTCTGTGTTTGGCTGTCCTGCCTATCCTTCCTGTCTGACTACTGGCCTGTCAACTTTTTATTAACTAATGAGAATAATACACATTCACATTGTACAGAAGGATTACTTCACAGCATTCCCCCTTTTGTCTAGTTAAATAAAAGATTTTTAACATAGTAAAACTGTATACAACAGAATAGTTATTAAGTGAAAATTATAATGACAATATCCAGTCCATTTGTATTTGGCAAAATTAGAGAAAATACTTTATTATCTATCTTGGTGAGTCTAAAGTTTTATACTTAATTTGTTTTCTATTATAACTAAGGAAAATTGTAACTATCTAGTCTTTAACTCCATCTAAGACCCCCAGAAGGATGAAATGTTACCTAATGACAAGGACATTGGGCTTCCAGGACAATCACTGAAAGTTATTCTGTAATGTTGGGGCATCCAGCTCTGTCCTTCAGGCCTAGCATATCTGTGAAGCAGACAATTTTGAAGAATTGTTCCACCTTATCTTGGCAAAGTTCAGCAGTTGCCTTTTTTGAATCCTGCTGGTCCAGTTTAGACAGTAACTGTCAGCATCTGAGGCATGTCCACATGATTAGCTTTTTCCATAAAGAAAGCAAATTCCTTATGGAGTTTCTTTAATGCACATTATCTTCTCTGAAATGTATTGGTGCTGCCAGACATGTCTCACTGTTATGAAAAGCACTATGTTATATATTAAATTCCATATTCTGTAGGTTTCAAGACAATATATCTATCTAAATATATCTGGTATGACCTTGAAAACATACCTAACATGACTATAAGTTTGACTATTATAGATGAACTATTAATTTGTATTTCTTAATTATATATTACACTTTAAATGAGTTGCATAAACACACTAGCCTAAATAAAAATAGAAACATATATTTATATTAGAAATAACTTTAAATTTATATCAATAAATAAAAATCCACACTAATGTAAAATATCCTGAGATTAATAGCTGATATTTGGAATAAAGTGAATGCAATAATATGTTTTATTCTATCATTTCTATATCCTATCCCCATTTTAAAAGAGATCTTTGAGTTTAACTCTTTTGTTTAGCTTTTGTTTTTATTATGACCAATAACAATTTGTAACTGAACCCCCTTAAATGATAATAAATAGCCACAACCCATCTTTTGGAAATGTGGACATAGTTTTCTAGATGCCTTTCTGATGATTGGGGGCAATGGGTTTGGGGAAACATGAGAAAATTTAGAATAATGGTTAAGTCTTGACTGGAGTAGTTTTGGGGACTGGATCTTCTCAGCCAGGAATCTTGAAGCTCTTTTGAATGCTGGATTACTTGGAACATCTATTTTTATTGGTGTATGGTCCCCTTGCTCTGAAAATATATCAACTTTTAAAGGTAGCATCTATATGTACATTAATACAAGTTTAGACTGTGCATTATACATGAGCCAGCCAAAGATGATTTTTTTTTATTATGTGTTTGAACAGATAAAATATACATCATGTGTCTTTTAGTTCTTTTAGGTTTATTTCTTTATGTTTGTAGCCAGGATTTTCAGGGGGTCTTCCTCAATCAAACCCAATAGCCTCTTGTTTCCTATGGCAAAAAAGCATAATCTCCCTCTCTCAGAGCAATAGATCTTTGAAGGACACTTAAAAGAAATCCCACACTAGCTCTATAGAATTGAGTATAATAGATGGTTATTTATTTAGGGGTAGACTCACAGATCACAATCCTTTGCTGGAACGGGAAACAGCAACCAAATCCTGCAGCCAGAAAAGAGCCTGGGCACATGCTTTACATAGGTATAAAAAGTATAAGAGGCCACGCCCAAGTGGGCAGGTAACCTAAAGGCTACCGACAGTAGGAATTCCTACAGCAGGTCTTTGACTTAAATTTTGAAGTTAAGACATTTTTAAAATATACAGGTTGGTTAAATCTAGCAGTTTCCATAATTCAAGGTCTCTTGGCAGCCAAAAAATTTAAAGACAACATAATAACATACAGAATCCAGACTCTGTATTTTTTCCATCTTTATGTGACTTGTTATATTTCTTATTACTCTATTTCTTTTTAAAGGATTTTACTATTTTATTCTAAAACTATTTTATTTTAAAACTATTTGTATTCTCTTTTTTCTTTTCTCTCCCAAACTTATGTGTATTTTTAAATACACTATAACCCATTTAGAGGTTAGAGGTTTTTGCCATCTTAATCTGTCCTTGCTGTGTATCTCTAAACTTTTCTGTCTGCATGAGCAAAACTCCAAATTTGTCATGCAGTGAACTGGTACTCATGGCTCAAGTCTAAAAGCAGCAACTGAAATGCCTTTCTGTACTGCAGCCAGTGTGAGAGATTGCAGAAACCTGCCATGCCACTCAACTCATGGTTGTTGGCAGCCAGTTCCATCTAGTGGGCAGTTGTCCAGAGATGTGTCTCTGTACTATGGCTGGCATGAGAGACTAGGAAGCCCAGTGTGTCCTCCTTTCTGTGTGTTTAGAACCTTTTTAGAACTTTCTCAGGGCTTATGTGGATCCATACCAGACAGTGGGTGGCATATATAGACAGTTTTCCTGTCCCACAGCTGCTCTCAAAGAAACACATTGAGGCTTATATTGGTTATAAATGCCCAGTCGATAGCTCAGGCTTATTACTACTTAACTCTTACACTTAAATTAATCCACATTTCTTATTATGCTTTGCCACATGGCTCATGGCTTGTTACCTCATTTTCTACATGCCCTGCTTCTTCTGCAGCTGGTTGGTGTCTCCCTAACTCCGCCCCTCTTCATCCCAGCATTCTGTCTGTGTTTGGCTGTCCTGCCTATACTTCCGGTCTGGCTACCAATGAGAATACTATGTATTTACAGTGTACAGAAGGATTATTCCACAACAGGGTATACACCCTTTTTCATTCTAAAAATGCCTACTTCATGGAGCTGTTGTAAGAAATGCTCTGTTCTTCTCAGCTGGTAAAATTCTTTGTCATGCACTGATGATCCCCAGAACCATGTAACACAGCCAGGTATGGTGGCGTGAGCTGGAGACAGGCAGATCTAGGATTTGCTGGCCAGCCTGCCTAACCAACTCAGCCAACTGCCGCAGAAACAAACAGGAAATCAGGATGAAGAGTGGATAAACATATCTATCTGAGGTTGTTCTCTGACATCCACACACAGGTACAGATTGCTATCTGCCCACACACAAACGTAACACAAATATACACAAATTAAAATAGTGAAAAAATTAAAGAAATGAACATTCTAGTAATGATGGTGTGTAACCCACACCCATCCTGGTGCCTCGTATTGAAAGTAGTGTACTATCCCCAGTGTGCAACACACAGTATATAGAAGGTACTCAATAAATGAGGCCTCAGATATCATGTGTCATGATGGAATACCATATCATTTTTAATACAAAGCAATAATTATAAAGAAAAAAGGACCTAAACGTTGGCCCAGAGAATAAAGCAAATTGAACACATGGCAGAGATTTTCCTACAGGGTGATGAAAAGGGCAGGGTGTGGCAGTTTAGCACGGGAGTAGAGGGTAGCATACCTAGCAATTAGAGACAAGTTTCATCCGTCTAGCCCAGCACATTTGTCCCTCTTTGTGGGAAGGGGAATGGAAATTCAATTCTAAGCATCTGTGTCTGTTGTCCCTGGCAGGTCTGGCACCTTCCACGCTCTGTAGTTTCCTTTCTTCTTCGTCGGGGGTCACAGGAGTCGGAGCTGAGAGGAGACCCAGGCCCACCACTGTGACAACAGGGCACACTGGAAGCAAGTGACCCGGCTCTGGAGGTGGGACCCAGGGGGCGGAGCCGGGGAAGGGGAAGCCCCAGACCGGAGCAGCTCCAGCATCGGAGACCCCACCCACCCTGCATGGTGCGCCTGCATAGGACTGGAAGGCAGAAGTTTTTTATGGCCATATTTTATACTGCAATTCTGATGTGTTCATTTCTCACAAACTGTACTGACTCAAGGGGAGCTGACTTCACAGGATCTGGTGCTGTATATAAGAACCTTGCAAAGCTCTAACTGAACGGACCTTCTTGCTCCCCTCTCCCAACTCCACCACTTCCGCTCTCTCAGTGTAGGCAGCCATCTAGGATGTATTTTTTCATGAAAAAAAAAAGGTTTCAACTGGATTATTTAAATATTAGTAAATGTTGTACATTAGGATTTTTGGGGGGGGGGTGGTGCTGGGGATTGAACCCAGGGCCTTGTGCATGACAGGCAGGCTCTCTACCACTGCACTGGATCCCTGACTGCATTAGGATTTTCTTTTCTTTTTGAGACATGTCTTTTTGATCTCTGTCAGTTACGTGACCTCTCTCATTCGCTCTTTAATAGTGGTTTTATGTGACCTTTAAGGGATTTCTTTCTTTCTTTTTTTTTTTTGTTTTTGCCTCCAAGAGGAGTTAAAAATATTTTTTAAAATTCTAAGAGGATCGAGAATCTGTCTCCAAGGCTGAGTGCACTTTACTTGTGTTTCCTTGCCCTGTGTCTCTTCCTCAGGAGGTCACCCCAGCACCTGGGCTGGGCTGGCTTCTCTCCAGGTAGCTTTTGCCAGGGAAACTGCAGAAAACCTTACCAGCAGCTTCCCCTGAGAACCCCTCACCAACCACAGAAGATGTAAGCTTGTTTCCTCTGCCCTAAACTCCAGGCTCCATATTACAGGGGAACTGCCCTCTAGGAACAGGATCCCCGCCGGGCCAAGGATCCCCGCCGGGAGCCTCCCTTACAGGCGGGACTAACCGCCATCTTGTTTTTAAAATGAACCACACAAAGCTCTCATTTCTCATGGGAGATAATGGATGAAACTCTGTTCTCAGCTATGCACTTTTAAAACGAATCTCTCTACAGTTGTTTTAATTTTTTAAATTCATTTCTAATCCTGCCCTTCAAATGGCCTATAGCACACACTTTTCCCCTTCACATTTTTACCCTTTTCTCTCGTGAACATTACCCAAGAGAGGGGACAGAAAAAGCCTTTAAGAAGAAACCTTTTTGTTCGGAGGTAAGGAAAGACACGAAGTGAGCAGAATACTGTCCACCTCAGAGCAAGGTCCAGCTGGTGCAAAAGCCTTCCCTTACATCAGAGGAGCCTGAAATGAAAAGTCATGGGGGTGGTCAGGCCATTGTGCGCCCTGGTTTGCCAGGGATTGAAGGATTTCCTAGGATATGGAACTTGAAGGCTAAAATTAGGAATGTCCTAAAAACCAGCCCTTGTCACTGACCTGCACAGTGGCTAGATATGCAAGAAGAACAGGCACAGAGTGTAGTCCAGGGCAGACGCTCTCCCAGGAGGTTCTCAGAGACCCGGGCAGCTGGCTCAAAGGCCAGTTTTGCCAGCATTCCCCTTCAGTTCTCATGTCTGTCTGAAGCCTGAGCCTCATCTACAGTCAGTGGTAGCCTAGCAATACGGACTGTGATAGGGTCCCTGATGGCCCAGGGACAGGCCTGAGGTTGTTGTCCTCATACCCTCCTCGTGTGCTTGCCAGCTACAAAAAGTCCTGGTGGACAAGTAAGTCATCCTTGCCACTCCTACGTTTGCCCCTAGTACTCCCCAGTACATATGCTGTGCAAGTGCGTGCACACACACACACACACACACACACACACACACACAGTATCACTAGGGAAGAAGCTCCAGTTCCCCAAAGCTATATAAGAGCAGTTTCAGACAGACATCTGGTCTACCTGTTCCCAGTTGTCTCATAAGCTCCCAAATGCTTAGTGAGAATCCTACCACACAAACCCAAAGAGTAGCCGTTGAAGCTGTCGTTTCAAAGTCTATAAGCCTTCTGGGAAGAGTTTCTAAAATGACAACAGACCCGGTTGGAAAGCAAATGCCACTGAGTCTGGAGACTTACCCACCTACTCTGCCCTTCAGAAAGCTAATGATATGAATATTACAAACAGTATTTAAGAAAACCTAGAAGTGACTCAAAAGAAGTTTATAGGATGTTTCCTGACAAGAAGTATCATGGAAATATTCAATTTTATGTAGTATAAGAAAAAAATACAGCAGTGCTTGGTGGTCTTAATTATAACACTTTGGAGGCTAAGGTAGAAGGAGCTCAGTTTCTATGCATCCTGAGCTGATTAGTAAATTCTTATCTCAAAAGGGAAGAAGGGAGAAAGGGATGGAGGAAGGATGGAAGTAGTTTAGTTGATTGCTGAAGTGGGGGATTTTACCCGAGTTTGACACCTTTCATGTGTTAGCCCTTTATGAAGTATGGTACATGTAACTATTTATGTCTACAAAGTAACATTATTAGTGATGAAAGTATTTCATAGAGCTGATATATGGGTACATGGACTACATATAAATATTTATGAACTACAAATAAATACAGAACAGTTGAAGAGTGAGCCCTGGTACAGGTGTCTACCTTGCAATCAACTATGCTTGATTCAACCTTGACACATCAGGTCTCCATGAGCTGGTGTTAGGAAGATGATTGATATTGCCAGCTCAGTAGTAGATAAGGTTGAACTTGACTTCAGGAAGCACCTACAGCATGTCACTAACTTGGGTTATTTCCTACTGTCTTAAGAAAGGTGAAAATAAGTACCACCTGAGCCTTCTATTCTGAGAAAGTCAGCATGGGAGAAAGACGAAGTTTCACTTCCAGTTGGTATTGTTAAATAATACTATAGGAGACCACAGAATGGACTTAGTCTTAAGACCTGGAAAATGGGATGGTAAAGTCTTGGCTCCCTCATTCTTGTTAGATTCCACTGACATAGGCTGAGAATGTCATGTACGTACCAGGATGCTTAGCAGCATCCTGTGGGCACACAGGCCCCTCTCAGACTGCTTTCCTAATATCAGGCTCTTACCACTGCCCCCGCTAGAGCCTTTTCACATTTTCCGAGCAAGTGGATATTTATTTCTTCACTTGGTTATGAAATTTTGAAATATTTTCAGAATATTTCCCACTGCTTCCTGCCTGTCCCTCCCTCATCCCCTGACCTTCACCCATACTTGAGGCAGAAAGGGCAGCTAACATTCATCGAAAAGCAACAGTGAGTGAAAGGGGAGCCCTCTTTGGTCCCAACAAGGCCAATAACTTGTCATTCCTAATCAAGGGATCTGTGGAGTTTGGAGCTTCAGGTGTAGGGGTTAGGAAGGGACAGAGGCAGTTGGAGGCTGGAGGGACAGGGCCTGCCACAAACCCTTGAGGAAATGGGGTTTGCCCAGTCATGACTGAGGCAGCAGCCCCAGTGTCACAGACTTTGTAACAAGCCCTGGCTGCTTTTTACCCCTCTCTACTGCCTCTAACCCCAAGGGGACTTTTGACTCCAGAAGATCAACTGCCATTCCCATCTCTGTGTGAAAGAAAAGGACTCTGTAGAAGGCACTGAAACAGATCAAAATGTCTAGATTCCTGCCCTTGACATTGATGCTGGGTCTCTGCTAAATTGCCGCCTTGAGTCTCCAGCCATACCACTTCAACTGGGCCCCGTGTCATCTAAGATGCCTCCTTAAGAAGACAGCCACCTCCGTTTGCACAACAAGCTGTGGTTTTGAGAAACTCGCAATCTGCAGAAATCTCTGAGTGTGTTATTTGAGGAACACAGCAGCTGGCATAGTGAATCCCGGACTCTGTTTACCCACTTATGCTTCCCCCCACCCCCGACCTCAGTGCCCCGCACTAGTGCCCTAGAGAGTTTGTAGATGGCAGATGCCCTTGTACCACAGGTCAAGAACACTGTGGACACTGAAGAAGGAACCAGTTGGTCCCCTCTTGAAAGAACTGACCTCCCACAGGATGCAAAACTTGGTCCAGTCAGCTCTGGGGTTTGATGCTTTATGAGTTTGTATAAACAGTAGGGCAAGCCCACCCAGTAGGAATGACTAGGGATTTTAGAGCTCTGGGTATGATGACCCTTTGACCTGCTCAGAATTATGGCCAGAACTGACTTTTCACAATGGGGAAACCATATTGGTGCCATTATTCCAGGCTGCAGGCAGGAAACCTGGGGCCAGCAGTGCCTCTGCCTTGCAAGATTTGCACAAGTGTTGTGCTGGGTTTTCCTAAGCCATGAGGAAGGAAGGCGAGAGCCAGGGAAGGACAGCTCCTTCCTTTTTTCACAACCAAATGGCAGGTTTTCCTGGTTGGCACACACTCCCAGCAAGTGAGATACGGGCCCCGCTTGCACGTCCTACAGAACCAGCGCTAGGTTCCCATCCCTTCTCCTCACATTCCGACAATTTGCCTTTTCCTTAAACACATTCCAGACCAAACACTGTTCAGTTTGTTTCCAAAATTAAAAACCAATGTATATATGTGTATGTAGTCCACTGCTCTTTCAGGGGTTATCTGGTCCTAGGTTGGGGCTGCAAGCAGAAAAGGTATTCCAATCCTTTGATTACCAGAATTGAGAGTTTTGAGAGGTTTTTTTGTTTTCTCAGCCAAGTTGGGGAAGAGACATTTTGAAAGGCAAAATTATTTCCTGCTACCTCTACAAAAATTTGTGTGCAGGTGATTTAGCTTGAAAACTTCAACCCTGGGTAGCAAGCAGGTCTAAGGAAGAAAGGAAGAGGAAAGCCACACCCCATCCGCCAGGTCCCTTCTTGGTGGTCTCAGTGCATCAAGGTCTGCCTCCTGCTCCAGTGTGTGCACAGGAGCCCAGCCCCGCTGTGAAGTTGGCCCTGCATGCTGGCCACGGCCGGGCCTGCCCTCTGCCAGCAGCCAAAGTCTTCACAATCAGCAGGGAAGACTTAGCCCTGTGTAGACTTCCCTGTAAGCCCAGTGGGAGCAGCTCAGCTTGCGGCTTTAGGGGCTCCACTTTTGCAAACCCAAAGGCTGTGCATTTGGAAGCCAAACATTCAGTTCAGCATGTGGCTCCAAAGTCTGGTTTCGTGGACAAAGCAAACTGTGGAATGACTTCTCTGTGTCTGTTTTTCTCTAAGCCAAAGGGACAAACAATTGCATTGACTCCTTGTACTAAAGCCGCTTCTGCATTCTCCATACCTGTTTTTAACCTTCTTGTCTCTGGGGAATTTGTTATATAATTATCATGTCCTCTGATGATTTATCAAACTATGTTACTTACAGGTGATTTTATTTTTCTTATGGATGGAGAGACATGTTCGAGACTTTAGTCAAAGACATTACTCAAAAGTCCCAAATACTAATTAACTAGCTTCTCAATGGGAAAAATCTTCATTTGAACAGACAAGGGTTCTGAGGCCCTCTGGGATAACCCTGCACCTTGGAGAACAAAGCCCTGGGGGGCAGAGCTGGAAGTTGGGTTACAAAAGAGATGAAGGAGGGACCAGAGCATTAGCTCAGATGTTTGTCCCACACCACAGAAGCTGTGATTCTCCCCGCAAGGCTCTTGGCCATTTCTGAGCAACATAAGACACTGTCCAGTATCACATCAGCGTCTTGCGTTTGAAAGACTGCATGTTTCAGAGAGCATTTATCTTAGTCCAACATTCAAATGAGAAGATACCAAAGGTGCATTCTTTCCAGAACATCCATTGGAACAATGTCTAAATTGGCTTCTGTGGCAATCTATGATGTGATTGGCCTTCATCCAGCTCTCTCCCAACAGTGGGCATGTTTTCCCAACAGCTTCCACCATCAAACCCAGGAGCAACCCAACTCACTATTACCAGGCTTGCAATTGGTTTGATTTTTTTCGTACATGCTTGTCCAAAAAAAAATTTTAAAAAACGAGCAAAAGAAGGGAAACTGCATTTATCCATGCATGTAATAAACTCTGCAAGAAGTTTAACCCCCATAGGTTTGCGGCACTGCAAAATTGTTCATGGGTCTATGTAGCAAATGATTCTCTGCCTTGACAATCATGTATACATATCGATTTCTATCATAATGATAATGAGATTGATGACTTCTTGTTTTCCTCCAATAAAGAGAATTAATCACCTTTCGATGTAGGTGGTCTGCTTCCTGTGTCACGAATAGTGTATTATAGCATTTCAACATTTCCTTCTCCCTTTTTTCTCTGATTTGAGGGTGAGTTATTTACTTGTTGGTTGTTTGTCAGTGGTGTGGATGGAACTGAAGTCGTGCACACATTAAGCAAATCCTCTGTACTGCTGAGCTTTAAGTTTAGATTTAAGAGAAAGAGCCTGAGTTGAGAGTCTGAAAGCTCATGAGATCACAGAGATGTTTCCCATCACTTGCCCAACAAGCAATTGGAAGGAAGTAGCCATGAGGTGGAAGGGTTGTTGCCAGGTTCAATACTGTCTAGACAAGAAAGCTCTGCCCCCTCCCCCACCCCTTTTCTGCTGTAGAAGCTGGCTGGAGGGGTGCCCAGGAACTCAGGTCATATCAATTAGGTATTCATAAAATGTTTGGCAGAAAAGTCAACAATGATTTCCAGGAAGTCCTTCTGAGCAGAGGTAGCTTGGCAGTGCCAGGTTTGACCCATCTGTCCACATCCTTCTACATCCTCAGTCTGACTTGTCGTTATCATTGCCCAAAGGAAGATTCTTGTTTCAACAGAAGGCTGGCTGATGGCTGTTTTGGGATGGGAGTGTTTTTTGTTTTTGTTTTTGTTTTTGTTTTATGTTTTGTTTTTTTTTAAAAGTGTTTGGAGAGAAAAATTACTTCATAGTCCATAGGATATACTATGGCAATCAGATCTGACATCAGATAAGTCTTCTAATCCAGTGGTTCTCAACCTTTGGATCACAACCCTTTCACAGGGGTTATATATCAAATATCCTGTATATCAGATATTTACATTATGATTCATGACAATAGCAAAATTAAAATTAGAAATTAGCCATGAAAATAATTTTGTGTTTGGGGGTCACCACAACATGAGGAACTGTATTAAAGTATGCAGCTTTAGGAAGGTTGAGAACCACTGCTCTAATCCCAATAGTAAATGGTTTTGTAGAGTTGGAAAAAATAAATTGAGCTTGTGTTATAAAAATATAGAATTTTGGTACTAGAAAGATGGCTCAGAGGTTAAGAGCACTTGTTATTTTTTTAGAGGACACAGTTTGATTCTTAGCACCCACACGGTAGTGCAAGGTCCTCCATTACTCCAGTTGAGGGTATCTGGCACCCTTGTCTGGTTTCCGAGAGCATCAGTACAAGGACATACATGCAGGCAAAACACACAGTACAAGGACGTACATGCAGGCAAAATGCCATACACATAAAATATTTAATAAAAAGAAATATAGAATTGCCCTGCACAGCTAGGACCACATAACGATACCGTGGCCTTAGTGAGAAAAAAGCTCTGGGCCAAGAAGACATAGAGAGTGTACTACTGTGTGGCCCTTGTTAGTTTGTTCTCACTTTCTTATCCCTGCTGAAGAGCTATATAAATGCGAAGGAACCTTTGTGAGTGAATAGGTGATGATACAGAAAACTTTATGGGATAAAAAAATTTAGGCATACTATAGTTTTTGTTACTGCTGTTGTGTTTGTTTGTTTGTTGTTTGAGACAGGATCTCACTATATAGCTCTGACTGGCCTGGAACTCTCCCTGCAGACCAGGCCTCTGCCTACTGAGTGCTGGAATTAAAGGTGAGAAGAGTATACTATTTTTGAAGGACTAATATTATATTTATTATTTATTTGTGTGCTGCACACACACACACACACTCATGTGCACGTGCCATGCCATACCATGTGTGGAAGTCACAGGGCATCTTTCAGCAGTCACTTTATTTCATGGGGCATGGGGATCAAACTCAATTCACCAAGCTTGGTGGCATGCACTTTTACCCACTGAGTCATCTCGTCAGTCCAAAGGTAGGACTCATGAACTGACCATCGCTGAAGTCTAGTGCAGTGGATGTATAGGAATATACAACTAACCACTATGGAAGGCCAGTGTGTCCTAAGCCTGTGAAGCTGAAATATTCAAACTCCAGCCCGTGTCACTTCAGCCATGTTGAGGAGCAATCCAACACTTCTCTTCTCCAGAGCCAAGCTCCCCGTGATGCCAAAGAGGTTCAGCACATACAAAAGTCCACATCAAAGTTCCTGGTTTAATTTTATTTTTTCCTTCAGGCAAATGTCAGGCCTGTGAATTCTTACATGAATAAAAACCTATTTAAGAGCTGACTTTAAAAACAATCACAAGAAATGAACAAAAAACTCCTACAGAGTTGGCAAGAAGTGGGTACAAATGGCGTGCTCCCAAAGCCTCCTGGATTCTCTGCTCCCAAGGGGGAGCATGGCTACAGCAAATACTTTGCTTCATGGACAATGATTGTTAAATCAGTGTCCTTAATCACCTTTCGGGTTGAACCATTTTTCCTGTGTGGTTGTGGTCTTCATGTGTGAATATACTTGGTCTGCCCAGAAATCTCCAACAGGATCTAGCAAGAATGTGCCACACCTCATCTTCTTACATATTTCAGCACAAAGCCAAGCTCATATCCCAAGAGGAATAAGAGATAGTTTGCCCCAGACCAAATATATATGAGTGATCATGGTCAGGAACATAGATTTAGGTCGCCCCAAATACCATGTTCCAATGTGGTAATAGTTTCATGAAGCTATTATAGTAACAGAACAGAGTTATAAATCCTAGCTCTTTAAAAATGCATTGGTGGACTAATTATCATTGCCGAACCTTCATCCAGTAACTGATGGAAGCGGATGCAGAGATTCACCACTAAGCACTGGGCCAAGTTCCCAGAGCCCAGCCAAAGATAGGAAGAAGGGACTACATGAGCAAAGGGGTCAAATCATAATGGGAAACTCAGAGAGACAGCTGACCCAAGCTAGTGGGAGCTCACTGACTCTGGACTGATAGTTGGGGAACCCGCATAGGACTGAACTAGGCCCTCTAAATGTAGGTGATAGTTCTGTGGCTTGGATATTCTTGGGGTCACTGGCAGTGGGACCAGGATTTATCCCCAGTGCATGAATTGGCATATTGGAGCTCCTTCCCTATGAAGGGTTACCTTGCTCAACTATGATACAGTTGGCAGGGAGGTTGTTTCTGCCTCAACTTTATAGACTCACCATGGGAGGCCTCACCCTTTCCAAGAAGTGAATGGGGGTTGGGGGAAAATGGGGAAGGAGAGGGAGGAAGGATGGGAGGAGGAGCTGTAGTTGGTATGTTAAATTAAAAAAAAAACTTTTAAATAAAAAATTTAAGAAATTACATAGGTGGAAGCATCAGGTCACTGGGTTACAGAAAAGTGAGAAACACATTATATACATCAGATGCTATGCTAGTGACATTCTTAGCCTTTAGTTGACAGAAACTAGGCGTTGCTTGTGCATTCCGGTAGACACAATGGTAGTCAAACATAGACGATGGGCAGTAACATCTATTAAATGTCTATTACAAGGGGTAAAGGTTGCCCCCAATAATTTGGTGATGGAACTGCAACATATTTTTGTGTTGAAATATGTAAGAAGATGAGGCTTGACACATTCTTGCTAGATCCTGTTGGCGATCTCTGGGCAGACCAATGTATATTCAAATATTCCAGCTCTTCATAATCACAGACAATCAGCCAATGAAACTTGAGAATTTCTAATGCAGATTCACATTTTTTTACCCTGAGAACTTTAGTTCACACACACTTGTAAAACTTATGGGAGCACCAAGAATATATGTTGCCTGGTATTACAGAGAGAGACAGGCACACACACACACACACACACACACACACACACACACACACACACACACAGAGAGAGAGACAGAGAGACAGAGAGAAAGAGGAGAGAATATTAATGAATCGTGTAATACATTCCAACCAAAGGACATAATGCAGACTGGTTCCCAGTCTTTCCAGTGCACCCATCTTGAAAAGGTATTGGCTTGAGTGAGCCCAGCAGAACTTGATGCATTAGGCCATAGGTGAGCTGTGGGCCAAGATTCACAAGGCTGGAAAAAGCTCAGAATCTAGCCAGGTTCCAGGGCAGGGCTGGGGTTGGGGTTACCTAGCCTCTTTTGTTCAAGATGTGAGCGCTGAAGTGGGCACTAGCCTTCCCAAGGCTCTCACCGAGGAGCTGGTACACAGAAAAACACATTACAGCTCTCATTTGGCATCACACTGTTCAAAAATAGCCAGGCCTCTTTCCCTCACTTCACCGACACAAAGCCCAAGGAAACTAGCCTTTCACTCAGGTCTCTATGCAGCTGGGAAGTTGGATGTAGGGGCACTCAGAACCCACAATCCTCCAGTGAGGTGACCTATTTCTTCTCTAAGGCCCCCTCAGTGCTTTGTAAACAAATCCTGCTCTGAACTTTCAGTCACTTGCACATGTGTTCATTCTACACTTTTGAGCACCTACTGTATTCGCTGGACTCCTTCTGTTGTCAGCACAATCCTCTAAGCAGAACAACCCCCATCTTTGTAAAATCAGCATTGTGTGCTTCGATAAGGTCATCACAGCTGGGTTTGTTGACTGCCAGCATTCCCTACCATGGAGATAGTCATTGGACCCTCACTTGACTAGCCAGCTGCTCCTCATAGCCAGCTGTATGCACTTTTACCCTAATTGTGTGTGACTTTGCCGTCTTGGGGAAGGGCCAGCCTCTCCTGAGAAGAACTGTATGGATTATGAGCTCATCTTAATGTGGTTGCATGGGCAACTTGGACTCGTTCCAGAGAAACTTCATGGACCAGAAAAGAAAGGCATCTTTAATTCACAGGTTAGTACCTGTTTGCCGCCACTTCTTTGTTTCTTCCTTCTGCCTCACAGCCTGCCTCTCTTTCTTTCCTTTTTTTCTTTTCTTTTCTTTCTTTCTTTTTTCCTTTCTTTCTTTTCTCTTTTTCTTTCTATCTGTCTTTCTTTGTTTCTTTATCTTTCTTTCTTTTTCCTTCTTTCCTTCCTTCCCATCTTCCCTCCTTACTAAGATTTAATTATCTGTATTTTGTATGTTCATTTGCACCATGAATATGCAGTGCCCATGGAGATCAGAAGATGGTATCAGTC